AAACATATTCAAACTATAAATTATATTTAAAATTAATCTTCAACTTTTAGAGTGTTTCAATAGAAATTTCAAATTAGAATATCATTACAACTACTTTTTTTGTCAGTAATTTTATATACTTTGATATGATGTGGATTATTTTTTTTAAAAAAATGTATATATTAATAATTTGTTTAAACATGTGGAACTCAAACTGACATTTAACGCTAAATTTGATGACTAATTGATGGAAGGGTGTAATAAGAATGATAATTTAGTTTAAAATTATCCCATGATTTAAGAAGATATATGTAATTAATCCTTTTTATATTTATTGAATTTAAAATTCATTTCACATAATTTAATTTTAAAAGAAAATTTCAGTTTTATTCATTCAATAAAATCCACTAACTTAAATGAATTCGATTTTTTACTTAATTCGACCCACTCAACCAAGCTCATCACCACTATATACATATTGAAATATACGGGTGATTTATGGAAATTTTAAGGAAAAAAATGGGCTAAGAACTGAACAAGACAGGAAATAAACAGGCAACGAAAGTAGCGGTAGAGGACAGACACATAGAGATAGACATAGAGATGGATAAAACCACGTACGTAGTTTCATTTCTCTCCAATTTCCAGACTCCGTTCTTTTGTTTTGTACGTTATTCGTAACGTTCAAACATGGAATCCACTCTCTTTCTTCCCCTCACAAATGTGATGCTCTGCTGAAAAAGCTACTTCACTTTTCTCTCGCTCTCTCGTTTCGCATTTCCACTTCCCCACCTTTAACTTCCCTTCTCTCTCACGGGCGAGAGCGATGGTTCTTGGAGCTAATGGCCTGATTTGGATGAACGGAGAAGAGGAAGAAGATGCAGTTTCTTCTTGGACCCCAAACAACAACAACAGCAGCAGCAATAATCAAATTGTGACTAAACAGGACTTTAACATGTCGGGTGCTTCTCTGTCCACCTTCAAATCGATGCTCGATGCTGATTGGTACATGAACCCAGGTATGAACAATGATCCTCAAATGAGAGAGCTTGGTTTCTGCTCGAACCAGGTTGATAATAACAGCCTCCTCCTTCAACACCACTACCCACTCGATTCCTCTGCTTCTTGTTCTCCTTCACAGCCCTTCAGTACCCTTGAATCTCACCCTTTCTTGCCTCCTAAATCTTGCTTCTCTTCTGTCCTCTCCAACAACTCCTTTGATAATGGCTTTGATTTTACCTCCGAAACTGCTTTTCTCTCTCAGTTTCAGCCGAATCAAACCCCGAGTTTGATGGGTTTTCCTCCCGCTCAATTATGTACTCCTGAGTTCAGTTCGAGCTCCGACTTTCATGGTACAAATCTGTTCACGGCGACAACAGAAAATGGTTTTGCTTTGAGTGGTGGCGGTTTTGAGGTCTTTGATGTATCGGGGAATGCTATCTTTATGAACAGAGCAAAGATTTTGAAACCCCTTGAAGTTTTCCCTCCGGTTGGTTCTCAACCAACTTTGTTTCAGAAGCGAGCCGCGATGCGTCAGGGCTCCGGTGTGGCTGATAAATTGGATGTTTCGGAGGAACCATCGGACGGAAAGAGGAAGAGGCACGAGCAAGGGGAGATTGAGGAAGCCAGCATCGATGTGTCGGGTTTCAATTATGATTCCGATGAGAGGAACGATGATAGCAAACTGAACGAGCGTGGCAAGAATGGTGGATCTAATTCAAATGCGACTAGTACGCTCACTGGTGGTGGGGATCAGAAGGGTAAGAAGAAAGGGATGCCGGCCAAAAATTTGATGGCGGAAAGGCGGAGGAGGAAGAAGCTCAATGATAGACTTTACATGCTAAGGTCTGTTGTGCCTAAGATTAGCAAGGTAAAATTATAGTATTTGAGAATTCTTAGTTAAACTAATTATTTTGGCGTAGCATTTTCTTAAAATTTCGATCTTGCTATTGTGTGCAAAGTTAGAACCTTGATATGTAGCATCTGATCTTACTCTTGAATCCAATGCCATTTCACCCATTTTGTATTGAGAGTTTGATAGCATGCATGCTTAATTTTAGTTTTTGTTCCCCTGCTTTTAGGATGGCTAACTAGTTGAGTCATTGTGGTTATAACTGCATTGAGGTTATTTTAGTTTGAAGTATACTACCTTGGCGTTCCTGTAATTGAAGGTGCTATTGATGGCAGCTACCTATTGTGATTATTATATAACAGATGGATAGGGCTTCGATACTCGGGGATGCCATTGATTACTTAAAGAAGCTTCTGCAAAGGATCAATGATCTTCACACTGAACTTGAATCCACCCCACCTGGCTCTATCGTGCCACCGTCTACGAGTTTCCACCCATTGACATCCACTCTACCTACTCTTCTGGGTCGTGTCAAGGAAGAACTATGTCCCAACTCATTCTCGAGTCCTAAAAGCCAATCCGCAAAGGTAAACCTTTGAACCTAAAAGTTTATTTATTTAACCTTTTGTATTTATTTGCTGGTTTTGCTGCAATTGCTTGAGTTTCATTAGTTTCTCCTAGAATCTGGTTTTATTAGAAGTCCTTGTACCATCTAGTAAAAAAATTGCATTTGAAGTTAATATTGAGCCTATATGTTGCATAAAATTGGACTCTTTCTAATTCAACTATGGATTGTCAAGCTTTCAAATGATTTGGATTTGAACTTGATCTTGGAAAACTAACATTGCTCTGTTAAACCTATCAAATAAATGACTCTTGTGTATGTACTTACATGAACAAAGTTACAATGGGACCGATGTTTCATCCATATATGCATAGAAAATGCTGTCATCAAACTATGGCTTCTTATTGACATCATTCCCTAAACCCCAGTTGCAAATAAGCATCTTATGATATTATTCCCTGCAATCTGTGGAGTCTTAGTCGAACTCTCTTTAACTCTTTATGATATTTGTCATTGATCGGTCAATATTGTTCTTAAGATTATATCTAGGCTTTTGTTTCTTTGCATTTGGATGTGGAACTCGTGTCAGACAAGAATATACACACACCAGGTTGTATCAATGTAAGCACGTAATATTTTACTTGTTACAGACAACACATTTTTTCCTTCATGTTTTGAGCAGTAACACTAACGAACTCATTGGCCTAAAAAAAGTGAACTCCTAATTTTTACATTTCTGGTTTTGCAATTTTCAGGTGGAGGTAAGGGTAAGGGAAGGAAGGGCTGTCAACATTCACATGTTCTGTGCTCGCAGGCCAGGTCTCTTGCTGTCCACTATGAGAGCTCTAGACAACCTTGGATTGGACATACAGCAAGCTGTAATCAGCTGTTTTAATGGGTTTGCACTGGATATTTTCCGAGCTGAGGTGCACTTCTTTCTCTCTTCTTGTCTTCATATATCTATCCATCGTATATATTCATCGCATATGATTTCAACTAACATCTTTATACGAATTTTGATGATTGTGATTTCTTTCAAAGTCTAGTCAACTCCCTGGGGGAAATCCAAGGCCCTATAGAAAGTTATTTATAGTTTGCAGACTGAATACTTGTTCTAGTTTGCACATGGACTGAAGCAAGAATTATGGTTTTAGTGGGACATTTGCTAGGCAAATATTTTATTTACATTCATATCTTCTGTTGCCAGAGAACATTATATAGAAAAATGGAGGTTATGTAGATCAACAATAAGACAGTGATGTGTGTCTTCCCTCATGTTTAGTATCACTTTGGAAGTTGAAGCTATGCAACTATCACAATCATAGTTCTAAAATTCTGATATAAAATCGGAAAGTGTTAAGGTGTTTAGTTTGTTTGTAGATATTAATATCTGGAAGAAGAATTCATTAATTCTGATTTCGTGTACGACGAATCGCAGCAATGCAGGGAAGGCCAGGATGTATTGCCTGAGCAAATCAAAGCAGTGCTTTTGGATTCAGCAGGGTTCCATGGTGTAATGTGAGGGATGAATAGCTGGCTTATTGTGATGGTATGAGCAGCAGAGTGGCAGTAGTAAATGTTAGTGTAAATTCAATTAGCTGCTTCTCATCATAGTGGCAGTGGAGCTTTGTAGGTGGCGCAAGTAAATGAATATTTTAGCAGACATGTTAATTTGCTTAGTTACCATCTTACTTGAGAAAGAAGTAGATTCTGATGGATTTTATTAATTTATTATTATTTTTTATGTTCAGTAATTTCAGCTTTTAGGATACAATCTATGCATGGTGTTATGGTTTTATTATTTATGTCGCAGGCTCTGTTGTGGTTGGAATAATATATCAAAAAAAATTATTTTTTAAAAAAATATTATATTTTATAAACCAAATGTGCCTAAAAGTATATATATATATATTTGGAAAATGGATTTTAGTTGATGGCAATTGGCAGCAACTAGCAAAACAAACAAATATTTAGGGGCGGGGGCGGTAAGCTGACTCAGTTACTACTCATTGCTCTTAAATGAATAATAATTCGTGTACTAGTCTGATTTGTAAGTGATATTTTTTAATATTTTTTGCATTTTGTTTTTTTATATATAAATTGCCTCATTTCTTCATCCAAATTAAAAATCAACTATAACTTCAATAAATAAGATAAAATTAAGGTATTCATTTTTGTCCTTGCCCCACTTGCTTAATTCAGGGTTTTGATAAGTGTTATTTGGTGTTTGCATTGTGCAGCGAGCATTATTTTTATGCTTGGTTGAGTCACATACGAATTTCGACAAAGAGAATTTTAATTTTATATGTAATTTTAAAATAATATGTTATAATATAAAAAAAGTTTTTAAGAGTACAAATTTAAGTAAAAATAATATTTATTCTAAATAAAATAATATTATAATAATTTTATTCAAAGTAAGTCATGAAAATAAATAAAATTATCAACAGAATAATAAATAAATAACACAAAAGCGAAAATTAGGGGAAAGGAGAGTGAAGCCCTCCAAATCAAACAGATTGCACCATTACCGTCAGATCAAATTACAAACATATGTAATAAAGGAAGGGCAGACGAGCGAGAGGATGGGAGGCGGCAGTCTGGTCTTTGCTCCCGACCATTTTTTGTCTTTTCACTTACTACTTGGCTGTGGGTTTTCCTTCCTATTTTCTTCTTTCAACACTATCGGAAGGTCGCCTTTCCGTTTCGATGAACGAATGAAAGTAAAACACATCCCCTTCTTCTTCTCCGATCTCAATCCCTGCATTATTGGTAGCATCATTCTTTCCCGCTCCGCAAAGGTCTGCTCATTTTTTCTCTTCTCTGTTTAATTATTTGTTTTTTTTTTCATTCCTGACCAATATTATGTGGATACCATAATGCACACTGTTTTTCCTGTTCTTCTGATATTGTATTTTGTACTTATCCAATCACTCACCGTCAATTCTTTGTTTTTTGTTGTCTTATGCTTCCGAAACAGATCTTTTGAGGGATATATAAGCTTATTTGTTAGTTATTATTCGTCGAAACAACTGTTTACAAGATCCGTTGAGTCCAAGATGTCGGCTTCGTTGCCATTTTCTGGTCCGTCTCATTCGTTTCCAAAGCAGACTTCTTTACAACGCCAATGGGCATCGCCAACTCTGCTTAGTTTCGCTGCCTTTAGGCCTTGTAATTCTTTATGTATCAGCCTGAGACGTTGTCGCGAAAGCGGAGTCTTTAGAGTTAGTTGTCAAGGGGGAAATGTGGATGTTATCCAAAGGAATGAGTTTGAAGCTGTAAGTCTCGGAGAAGCGGAGAATCAATTGACTTGCGTAATGAAGTTCGGTGGTTCCTCAGTGGCTTCCGCTAAGCGAATGAGAGAGGTTGCTGAACTTATACTCAGTTTCCCCAGTGAACGACCAGTCATTGTCCTCTCTGCAATGGGGAAGACTACCAATAAACTTTTGCTAGTAATCCCACTTATTTTTATCATTTTTTATCCATTCATTTATTGAACTGTAGAAATACAAAGGTTTGCTAAGAAGTTGGATTTTGTTTGATGATTAGGCTGGGGAAAAGGCTGTTAGCTGTGGTGACACCAACGTAGATGCTTTAGAAGAGTTGAACTTTATAAGAGAGCTACACCGTAGGTCAGAGCAATCGAAAGGGTTTTTCCCCCTTTTTAATGTTTCTCGTTTGGGTGTTGGTTGTAAAGATGAAGAGTTATTTAAATTTGCTACCTCTTCTTGTCAACTTTAAAATCCAGGACGGCTGATGAGCTTGGAGTGGAAAGGTCGATTGTTGATGGTGAGTTTATAATCAACGCTTGAGTTGACATCAAATCTTCTTTCTTTTCTAACCTCAAGAAACTTCTTGCTTCATTTGATTTTACATTGACGCCTCTTTTTCTGTTCTCTTTAGTTTAGGTTACTTATGCTAGTTTCTGTCTTGCTTTTTGCATGAAAAAACCCTTTCGTAGGTCACCTAGAAGTATTGGAGCAGCTCTTAAAGGGAATTTCTATGATGAAGGAGTTAACATTACGAACAAAAGACTATTTGGTTTCTTTTGGGGAGTGCATGTCTACAAGGATATTTGCAGCATATTTGAATACAATTGGCGTTAAGGCCCGTCAAGTATGCCGTTCATCTTTTTTCCCTCTATGTAGAATTTATATACGTTGGTATAATCACCAAATAATTTATCCAGTTTTTTAATATTCATCATGGATACCCTATTAGTAAACATTCCTAGATGTATGTTTTCCCAACTCTAAAGTTGAATTTCTTTGTGGACCTTGTGGTTCAAAATCCACATTAGCATTCACTAGGGTAATTGACTTCTCCATGATTAATTTATGCTTAGTACTCTATTCTCTGCATTTCTCATAACCACCATCATAAGGAGTGCAAATTATAAGTCAGTGTCCTGTATGCAGTACGATGCCTTTGAAATCGGTTTCATTACCACTGATGACTTCACAAATGCGGATATTTTGGAAGCAACTTACCCAGCTGTTGCAAAAAGATTAAATGAGGATTGGATCTGTGATCCTGCAATCCCAATTGTCACTGGTTTCCTTGGAAAGGTAGAAATGCTGTATGTCCTTTTGAAGTGATTTCATTCTGAATAAAATATTCTTTGTGGGATCCTTTTATCTTGTTAACTTCTGATTGTAGGGATGGAGATCTGGTGCAATTACTACTTTAGGTAGGGGTGGTAGTGATTTGACAGCCACAACCATTGGAAAATCATTAGGGTTGGAAGAAATTCAGGTCAGTGTGTATGTCCAAGGTCTGAACACGTATGTGTCATAAACCTGCTGATGTAGGATGATGGCTGTGCCATATACTTTTTCGTGTCACTTTCTAATGGATACCATCATTTTAATACAACACGCATCTATAACTGCAATTTGTACTGCGGATGAGAAGTTGTTGTAAAAACAAGTGCTTACAGTTTTATACCCTATTTATACTGTAGAGTACCCTTTTGTAGAAAATAAAGTTATGACTGAATTCTTTTATTCATTGCAGGTATGGAAAGATGTTGATGGTGTTTTAACCTGTGACCCAAACATACATCCACGCGCAGAACCTGTCCCATATCTGACATTTGATGAGGCAGCTGAACTTGCATACTTTGGTGCTCAGGTTCTATAATTGATTAGCTTCTTTGTCTTCCTCTTCTTTTATTAGCAACTATTAAACTTCGGCGAAAACACATGCATAAATGTGTGTGACTTCTTTTTTGTGATCTGTCCTTGGAAGTAGTTTAAATAACTGAGCGAATTTGGATTTTTGTCATGCCCTTCAGGTTCTGCATCCACAATCTATGAGACCAGCTAGAGAGGGTGATATTCCTGTTAGGGTTAAAAATTCTTACAATCCGAATGCTCCTGGAACTCTCATCACTAGGAATAGAGATATGAGTAAGGTATGTAGCGGATGATTGTTTGTTTAATGTTTTTAAATGAAATCTGAACTGCTTAAATAATCCTCTCCCCGCCGTCCCCCCCCCCAAAAAAAAAAAATATTGCAGGCAGTACTCACCAGCATAGTTTTGAAAAGGAATGTTACCATGCTGGATATTGTCAGCACACGCATGCTTGGTCAATTTGGGTTTCTTGCAAAGGTTGGAAGGCCATTCCTGATTTTAGTGCCAAGTGTCCATTATTTTTCCCTTGTGTAGTTGATTTTTATCTTTTTGGTGTGTGCAGGTATTTTCAATATTCGAAGATTTAGGTATCTCAGTGGATGTTGTAGCTACTAGTGAAGTCAGTATTTCTTTGACTTTGGATCCATCAAAACTGTGGAGCAGAGAGTTAATTCAGCAGGCAAGCGTATGGTTCCATCCATCATGTTTCAATTGATACTATCTTGAACAGATTTTATACCCGTCTTCGGAATGATTCTGAATCATTTTCACTGTTTGCATCACTTGACAGGAACTTGACCATGTTGTTGAAGAACTTGAAAAAATTGCAGTCGTAAATCTTCTTCAGCGCAGATCTATCATTTCTCTCATTGGCAATGTCCAGAAATCCTCACTTATACTTGAGAAGGTACTCCTGTTTCAATGTGTCAATTTCTCTGGCCGCATATGCTATAGCCTGTGAATACTGCCATTAGATGGCAATCTGTTTGCGAAACTAAGCATTTGTATTCATGGATAATTCAATGTCATGGCAGGCATTCCGCGTGTTAAGGACCAGTGGAGTGAATGTTCAAATGATCTCTCAGGGTGCATCTAAGGTCAGTTGACGATATTAGCAAATGTTATGATGTTTAGCATATTTATTGTGATGTATGTGTAACACAGTTTGTATTCATACTTGTTAGGTTAACATATCATTGATAGTAAACGACAATGAAGCAGAGCAGTGTGTGAGGGCTCTTCATTCAACATTCTTTGAAAGTGATCTCCCTGATTTAGATCAATTTGATTCTGCAAGTTGATGATGAGAATTTAATTTTTTTTTCATGTACGATTTTGATGATGTTGCCCTTTTGAAATCATTATTGCATCTCAATTCTGTAGGACTTGTAGCAGATTCATAAACTCATTACAATGAGCACTAGTACTGATAAATGATAAAATGTGATGGTTGGTTCTGCTGGTGTTCCCGTCGAATACGATCTATAGTTTTCCAGTGAGTTATCCGAAGTCTGAAGTTTTGCAAAACCATGAACCAACTCTCATGAATGATCTGAAGTCTTGCAAAGTTAGCTAAATTCCTCATGCTACAGAGTTTTGGCCAATCCCAACTGCATGGGTAGTTCTGCTGTACGGAAACTTAATATAAGGTTAAGGAAAAGCGTTACTGGAAATATTAATATTTTTTTAACATTTTCGGTAAAGTGCTACCTAAAATGTTATTTTTTCTATCGGAAATGTTAATTTTGTTACCTAAAATGAATATTTTTTATATTAACATTTCCGTTAGAAAAAATAACATGTTAGGTAGCGCCCGATATTAATATTTCCTGTAGAAAAAATAACATTATATGTAGCGTTTTACCGGAAATTAAAAAAAAATTAGCATTAGTTTTAGTCTGCTGGAAAATAATTTGTTTTAATATGCATGCAATGTTCTGCAATACACAAATTTCAACCCGAAGCTATCTTCTCCTTTAATTATATAGGTCATTAGAGGAATTTAAACATAAAACTTTAAATATGTTAATTATATATTAAAATTTCAATTAATTTAAATAATTAAATGATTTAAAAACAATAATTAGATTTCTCTAAAATCTTCAACTGATTCTTAATTAAAGTTATTTAGACCACCCATCGATTAATCAAATTAATTATGTTTGATTGGTTAATTTGATTAAAATCGAATGTGCACAACCTATTCTCCTTCTAGCCCAAAATGCAATAATCTTTTAATGGGCCGAATTCTTGACATGGCAATTTAAGTCTACCCTTATATAACTCTCTTAATCCACACCATAGTGCCATAACAATCTTTATTAGGGTTTACACAGAGAACCCACCAGCCATTATGGCTTGTACTATTGATTTTCGCCGCCTTGATGAAGGTTTCGACGGCAAAACCTACAAACGAAAGCGTCAAGAATCGCAAATCGCTGCCGATACTGTCAATGTCAACGACGCTACCTCCGCCGCCGCCTCCATGGACGTCGATGATTATTGTCCCCCACCTGCAAAGCGTTCAGCCGTTCCTTCCTCTGACGACCCCAACAAGCCCACCTTCGGTCAACCCACCTACGACGGCGTGATTGCTGGTAGGGTGTCGGGTCGGAACTGGAAGCAGCCGAGAAAGCAGCGTGCGTCGGCGAAACATGTGAGTATAAAGAGGCCGAGTCTGGAGGAGAGGGAAAGACAAGGAGATAAAGAGAGCTTATACTGGTAGGATTAATGAGTTGAAGGAAGAGATAAGGCAAAACAAGGTGGAGAAGAGGAAGAAGAGAGAGGAGAGAGAGAGAAGAAGAAAGAGAACATATTGAGATCTGGAACCAAGTTTCAGAAGATTACTAACCCTAAAACTCTGAAGAAGATTGCCAAGTCGAAGCAGAAGAAGTTGCTTCAAGTTGTCCCTGATGATTTTCTTAACAAGAAATCCAAGTAATAATGGAAAAACCCTTTTGTTAGGTTCAATTTTGTTTTCATTTTATCGATGTTATATGTGGTTTGTTGTTTCTTTCTGTTGTAAGAAGTAATGCATTTATCTGGGGAATACCCTCACATTTTTCATCTTTAATGGAACCACATTTTGCATAATCCATCCAGAAGTGCACTTCCTGAAAAAACATTTGACATGAAACCTGATCTGATTACAAATGAGTGAATCTCTCTCCCCAGCTGTAGTGAAGTCAAATTAGCAGATGCTTTCTACGTGCTAGCAAATGTTGGTTGGTCTGCTCTTACACCAGCTCTGTGCATCTCATTGAATAGAATCAGGCATGGATATCTTTCCAGTTTCTTCAAATCTGCCGCATTTTGCATACATGTCAAGTAAAGAATTCCCGGCCACAAGTTGTGAATCAGCTGCAGTCAAAATAGCCAGGGAACGGATTTGCAGGTGCAGTGCATTAGCTGCTATACTCAACATGGCTGCAAATGGGAATTGCCGCCGATTAAAGCACGTAAACTGTAACGCCCGGTAAAGTCTAATAGCTTTTTCATGCTGCCCAAGCTACGCCTCATAGAATGTGATATGATTATATATGGTAAAAAATGCCATCCAAGACAAGATCGTCTATATAATTATTTTTCTTCATAATTAATTGATTTGATCTCGAACAAACAAGATTATGTGTTTGTTTATTTTGAAGTTGCAAGTTAACAATTATGTTGGTTTATATGTATAAAATAGTGAAATTATACCACTAGTCTTTTAATCTACTTAGGTTTCATAGTTTAAATTTCACGTTCAACTTGTGTCTAATTTAATCTCAATCTTCACTAATATTTAAAAATTTAAAAATAAAAGAAAAAATAAAACCAGATAAACATGTTAATTAGCTATGAACAAACCAAACACATTTTTCTTTTGGTATGAAAACGGAAACAGCTTCAAATCTTAGTTACGTGATAATGCCTCTTCCAGTGTAACATCCCTGTAATACCCTAAATTTTGGTTAATGATCAAAATGTAAATTTGAAAGCTTGTTGGTCAAAGCAGTAAATTGGGAAAAGTTTGAGGAAATTAAGTGGTAAAGTTCTTGAAAAGAATTTTATTTCATAAATAGATAGTTTACTCTTGAGAGTGGTTTTATGGAATTATATTTGAATTTGGAATTTGGTAAAGAAAAATTAGAAATGGTTAAAACCGGTAAGGAATCGGTAATTTCAGATTGAATTGGAATCTTACAAAAATTTGAAGGATGTTATAAAATAGTTGGAAATATTATTTTAATATTTGGATCAGAGAAATTTGGTCTGAAAATGTGCAATTTTTCAAATTTAATCGAAACAGTGGAATTTAGTGACTAAAATGCAAGTTTTGAAATTTCATGGGAAATTTCAGAAATTAAAGTCAAAATAATTCATCTTTGACTTTGAATTATGATAAGGATGAGTTGTCATGGTTTTATGGTAAATAGGAAGATTCATTAAGGGTGATTTGGTTATATCCCAATTAAATGAATATTATTTCATTTATAGTGGAATATAGTGTAAAATAAGATGAAATGCACCCAAATTTGCTATCTTCTTCTCCAACTAGACGTGTGCTTCTTCAAAGGTAAGAGAAAACTTCAACTCAGTTTTCAAGCAATTTACTTAGGATTTTGAGTAAGTTGTAAATAGAAAATTGTTATAAGCGAAAAACTCTATCTTTTGGTACCAATATTGTATGGTAATCTTGTTGGTGTTCAAAGATTCTAAATTTAAGGGTTTGTGTTCATATAAGGAATCATGAAATTGATGATGAATATGGATGTTTGTGAGGTAGTTGATTCATATTCAAGCATGTATGATGATTATAATATGTTTAATATTTCTAGAACTTGTTCTTTAACTTTTGGTCATGGATTGTTTGAGTGAGAAAAATTATGGAAAAATTATATATGGGTTGGAAATGATGAAGTAAGTGTTTTACAAGTCTTATAAAATTTGAGGACCATTTTGAAACTTTTGAAAAGTTGGAGATTAATTCGTAAATTTTGGAAAATTGAGGGATTGTTGTGTAAGTGTTATATAATTGATGTGCTATGCTGGAATTTTTGGTATTAAGAATATAAGTGATAAAATGGTTAAGGACCATTTTATATAAGTTGGAAAAATTGGTGACAAGATTAAAAAGAACTAATAAGTGTTTAAATATTGGTGGAAATTGAGTTCAAGTATATCATGGAGTTGTTATGTGATATGTTTATGTTAGTATAATACTAACATATGTATAGTATGAATTTGTGATTTATTCAGATCATGATTGATTTGTGATCGAAGCAAGTCAAATAGAAAAGGGTTTATTGTGGACAATAGTGAGACACATATTTTCCAAGATATAAAGTGTCAAGGTGAGTGCAATACATGCATGAAATTATACATGGATGTTTTATGCATAATAAGGAAGACTTGCGATAAGTCTACCTTGTTTATATCAGCATGATATTATGTTATATTTTTATAAATTGACATGACATTTATATGTCATAATATGAACATTGATTTTGGAAAATGTGATATTTTACCATGAATGTTATTTTGGGTATGAACTGTCCCATTGTTAAATATTGATAATATACTTTGCCATGGATGGATCAAATAAAATAGACTGTATGCCCAAGTAAGTCATTGAGGGACAAGGTATAGTTGGCATGCCATAGAGTCCAGCAACATGCTGCATATGGGATACACTAAAGGATACCTAGTGTATATAGTGGACACGACCTTATGTGTCATACGGATTATGGTGGACACGGCCTTATGTGTCATACAGATTATGGTGGACACGACCTTATGTGTCATACGAATTAGCATTACGATGCTTATATTTGACTTGTGTACCCAGGGTCCTCAGGGTTGTATATTGGGCTATTGTCTATGGTTTATGGTTTATGGTTTATTGGTTAATAAATGGTAAGTTATACAAATAAGCTTACGAGTTATTGGAATGAATGACAAGTATTTTGGAAAGAATATTTTTTATATTCAGTTATGATATTTTGATTATGGTAAAATATTGAATATGCTATTAGCATGGTTTTATGGCATTTGATTTGGAATTTAAATTCATGCATGAATTGTATTGCACTGTTTATTGTTATAATTGCCTCACTAAGTATATACTTAGCGTGTGATGATTTTCACGCGTAGGTAAAAAGCCAGTAGTGGAATAAGGAGTACAAAGCGACATCAAGCAGTATATTTCTATATCAGTAAGACATCCTAATATGTAATGTAGACTTAATTAATGGCATGTAATTATTATGTTTTATTTGCTTTGTTGAACAAAATTGGAAACAAAAATGGAATTTTATGAACTTATATGTATTTTCGGAGTACTGTAACTTACTGTAGCAATTACTGTAGCTTACTGTAG